GGTGGAATGAGTGGGTTATGTAAGTTTAACTTTTAAGAAATTGCCAAATTTTTCCCAAAGTAGTTATACCATTTTGTATTCTCACCAGTACAGTGTGAGAGTTTTAGTTCCTCCACATCCTCTCCAACACTTTCCTAGAGGACAATTTGACAATATCTGTTGAGATTAAAAATACACATATACTTTGATCCAGTAATTCCAATTCTAGGAACTTAATCCTACAGGTATTCTCACACATGTGTGAAAGGACATATGCATAAGGCTATTACTTGCAGCATTATTTGTAATAAAAATTAGAATTAACCAAAATGCCCATCATTATGGGGCTAAACTGTAGTACATTCATATAATAGAATACTATGTAGCTACAAAAATAATCAGGAAGCATAGATATTTTTGGAAGGATGACCCTAACCCTAACTTTGTTTTTTTCTGGGAAGGGGAAAGTAAGGCAGAGACATGGGAGATTGTCATGTACTCTTGTGTTCTTTCTCTTTTGAACCATATGGATGTATTAGCCACTCAAAAAATAGAGTTGAAACTTTTTAAATGTCTCCCTGAAATTAAAACAGTCATTAAAAGCAGAATTTTAGAATCTAAACCTTTCAACTTACAGATAAGAAAACTGACACTTAGAAAGGTTAGGTGCTTTGCCATGTTTAAATAGTTAGCTCTTATAAAATGAGTGCTTGTAAGTCTTATTAAGGAGAATCCCAGACCCATAAGTTCTCCTTGTAGTCATTTAAAATGATGTCTTTGTTAAAAAAGCAACCATTATTCTCAGGGAGCAGAAGCTTCTTAAGACAGCACTAATGTAATGAAACAAATACTGGACTTGAAAGCCAGAAGAAATGGGCTGGCAGCCTAATTCTAATTCTGCTACTTATTATTCCCTTGACCATTTGGAACTGGTTTCCTCATGTGTCAAAAGAGCTGGGGTGCCTCCTCGGTGGCTCAGTCGGGTAAGCGACTACCTTCAGCTCAGGTCATGATCCCAGGTTCCTAGGATCAAGCCTTGCATCAGGCTCCTTGCTCACCAAGAAGCCTGCTTCTCCTCCTCCCTCTGCCTGCTGTTCCCTTGCTTGTGCGCACGCGCCCCCTCTGTCAAATAAATAAATGGAATCTTAAACAAACAAAACAAAAATAGCAATGCTTTTCTCATAGGGTGAGATAATATGCATGGACTGTGACTCACTGATAACAGTACTCCATTCTATCAGTTATCTTCACCTTACTGTGCAGTAGTTCATTAGCCATTTTTCCTTAATTATAAAATATGTCAAATATAGTAAAAGACTGAGAATAATATGATAAATACTCAGGTTATCAAATCTTAGTATTTTGTCATATTTACTTTACTTTTGGAGGAGGGAATAAACGCCCCTGTATACCCTCCCCTATTCCTTTCCTGTTCTCCAGAGAAAGCCATTCCTGAATCTGGGTATTCATCATTCACACTCAGGTTTTTTATTTATGCCTACATAAACAAAACCAATGTATTGTTTTGCATCCTTCAATTTTGTGGAGATGTATATATTGTTTGGCAACTTGCTTTTCTCATTCATTTGTTTTTGAGATTTATTCGTGTTGATTTAGCTCTAGTCCATCTATTTTAACCGCTCTCTAGTACTGCAGTTAGTTAGTTAGCCTTAATTTATTCATCCATTGTTCATGGGCATCTAAGATGTCTGGCCAGTGCAAACCATGCTGCAAAGAATAGTCTAGGGCAGATCTCCTCGAGTATATATAGTAGATTTTCTCTAGGATTTATGGAACTATTGGGTCAAAGGGGGTATTCCCCTTCATCTTTACTAGATGATGTCAAATCCAAATAGACTTATTAATTTATGTGCACGCAGTACATGGGAGTTCCCATTTCTTTGCATACTTTCTAATGCATTAAGGAAATGCAAATTAAAAGCACAATGAAATACCACCATACACCTATTAGAATGGTTTTTTAAAAAGCCCAACTTAACATATCTAGTGCTGACAAGGAAGTAGTGCAGCTTAATTCTTGTGTATCACTGCTAGGAACACAAAATCATATGGTATACAATCCAGCAACCTTCTTCCTAGGTGTTAATCCAAGGGAAATGAAATCATAGGTATACACGAAAGCCTTTATGTGTATGGTTTCAGTGGCTTTATCCATAATTATTAAATGCCTTAGAAAGTTTTTAATTTCAAGGGAGTTAGATTTAGTTTAGGTTTTTGAGAGCAGGTTTGGATAGGGATCCAAGAGAATTTAAGAGAGCAGTTACCACTTGGTGGGAAAAGTGCTCCATCAAAGGAAAACCACCAGTGAAGTCTGAGTGCATTCACAACTATTTTGTCAAAGCTGAGTTATTATAGGGCCAGCCCTGGAGATAACGATTGCATCAAGGAAATGGTTAATTCTAAAAATCACTATGGACTGCCCAGGCACATTCATCCTTGGAAACCAGGAGAAACTTCAGCAGTTTCTTATCCTCCATAAAAGGTTTGGGGACCAAGAAAAGCTTGTCTGGAGGATAATAAATATGTCTTGGAATATAGTGGGCAAGAAACGAGTTGTAGGATTTGCAGGTAAAGTACAGGATGCCTAGTTAAATTTCAACTTCATAATTGATTCATAATTCATAAAGCATAATTTCTATGCAGGACATACTTATAATAGAAAGTTATCTGTCTGAAATTCAAATTTAGCTGCATTACTGCATTTTTATTTGCTAAATCTGGCAACTTAAAGTGGTAAGTCTTATTTAATATAACTTAGCCTTGAGAAGAAATCCAGTTACTTGTGCAGAATAATCATTTATTATATTTACATGGAAGTTTTAAGTTTTTCACAACAGAACTTTTCAAAATGTATTTTAGTGATACAGATTACAAAATGGAAGATAGCTTCATAATTAACTGTAAACTCTAAAATTATAAATACTAGTTTTTAAAAAGATATAATGAGTCTAATATGAATATATGAAAAGGTTTTTGTGCTTAAGAAGAAAAACATTTGGTTTTGTAATAAAACGTAAATAACTAAAAAAAATTTCTACTGAGCATATATTAGAAATTCTCCATTAGCTCAGACTCCATCTTAAGAGCCCCTCAATCTTCACTAATGATGAATGCCATCACATACAGTAGTTTTCCTGCAACAGGATAAAAAATCTGTGTGTAACCACATAGAGTAATGGAAGAGGGAGGAAGAAATGAGGAGGGAAAAAACTCATCAGTTTACAAATACTCCAGGTTGGGGATTAGACAGTTTAACAGGTCTACTTTGCACTTCTCAAATGGTATTTTACCATTATCACCTTGTGAAAAGAACCACAAAGACAATTTACAAATGTCTGACTTGTACATAAGAATCACCGGTAAAAGCCAGAAACAATAGCAATTCAAAAGTAAATTTTCTCAACTTAAATATGTTTTTGACCATCTTACTGTGTATTATTAGGTGCTGGATCAGGCACTTTGTGGGATACAAGTATGACTAAGTACTTAAGGAACTAACATCTAGTAGGGTGGAAAGACACATGCATAAGTAAACCTAATACAAGGTAAGTTGTCATGTAAGATGATAGATTGAAAATGCTATGAGAGCATAAAGGAAGGAGGTGGTAAGTCAGCAAAAGCTTCATAGAAAGTCGCTCCAGAAATGGCTCTGGATGAGAAGGGATAGAGTGATGGGGGAAACAGAGGAACAAGAGGTAGAGGTGGGCAGGTGCAGTGTGTGGGTTTAAAGAAGCAAAACTGCTTTGAATGCATGATTTGGAAAGAATTATTTACAAAATGAATGGCTCTGCATGACCTGGTTCCTGCGTCTCCTACCTCAAGTCTGTTCCTGCCTTGACTCATTCCCTTCCAGCCCCATGCGCCTGGAGTGCTTTACTCTCCCAATTTGCGTCGCCAATTCATTATCCTCATGGGGCTCAGTTTTACTGTTGCTTTCTCTGCAAAGCCTTCCTTGACCACCCTTGTCTTCCAAGCTGGGCTCCTGTACGTATCTCATGGCACCTATGTATAACCTACCTCATTAGATTATGCATTGCTTAAAGACAGGGACCCTTTCCTGTCTTGTTCACTGTTGTAACTTCTGGGCCTTAGCATAGGGCCTGGCACTTAGCAGATAACCGATAAATTGATGATGAATGACTTCTGGTAATAGTTTTTAATGTGTGGTTGAATATAGCTTCCAGTGCTTTCAGTGTTGACAGTTATGTCAAATTACAGGGTTTAGAAGAAAGGTAGGTTTTAGGACTTAATAAGATACGTAAATTAATAGTTTAACCCATATGGATTTCCATAATTTAAAGCAATTTCATGGAAGACATAGTATGTATATGCTAAGTATAAACATGTTTCTTAGAGAAGGATGGGAAAACTAGAAACACAACAAACAATAAAAGCACACAATGGAATAGTGAAGCAGTCTCCATAATCTTCAAGAATTTAACTTATAGATAGCACCTTCTACTTCAGATGTTAAAGAGTGTCTTTACACTTTTACTTTTTTAATCACATGCAAGCACTATCCAAAATTTAGCTAAACTCAAAATATGCCTAATATCTGAATTTAATACTTAGTATGCACTTATTTCATAATCCTCTCCAGCTCCAAATTAAAAGGATTCTAACAGTGTCCACATACCCATTGAATGAATATATAATTTTGTTCTCTGGAGCAAGGTCCCAATACTTCATTACCAGATTTATACTGATTAGAAGGGATGGTATTCAAGCTGATAACTAGTTCTCTCATTTACTGAATTGCTCCTGAAGGAAATCATTAAAATCTCTAACATATGAATCTGAGGTTGCCTCCTAGTTCCAACTGGATTTGAATGACCTGACATTTTTCACTTTTATAATTAAGTGCTAGAAATATTTTATTGTAAAGACTGACAAATATATCGAATATGCTCTGTTTTGCAAAGTCTGATTTTTCAACTGTTCAGTTCCTGGCCCTTGGGAAAAAAAACAATCACTTAAATGAAAACTAAAAATATAAAGCCTATGTTTAAAACATGGCCTTTATTAATACTGCCCACTGAGCTCCATTTTTATTTTACATTGAAATACTTCTGCTTTGCAAAGAAAAGACAAAAAAGTGCATTTTACAAGAGTACTTTTTTCTTTTTAATTCTCTGCGAAAATGGAAGGAATCTGAATCACAAGTTCACAATGTGGTAAAATGAAATTAAGAAACAATGATTTCGGTAATGCTATGTCATCACTAGTGTTTCGCTCTGACTTTGTTCTTGTAAATCAGATCCTGATACACAGTCTAGAGCATCTAGGTTATTACTCTACAGCATATTAAACACAGAAAAGGAGGTTTAAAAAAAACCCCTTTCAATGTACAAACATGAATTTAAAAACTGATTTTAAAAAATCACCTTTTTACATAATGTATATGGCAAAAATGCTTTAAATACATGATTTTGGAATTATTTACAAAATGTATCAGTCTGTGGAACAATTCACAGACAAAGCATACATAGTTGCTTTACTTAGTTGTTGCATCTCAACTTTGGGAGATAGAAATTTATTCGGCAGTATAGCAAACATAAAAACTATGACAAAGTATCTTAAGGGCAACCAAAAATTTGATCCTCAAAACAGTTTAAACACTAGGACTGCCAAAGTTTCTAAACGAGGACATACTTTAATGATCCAGATGCCCATTTATAGTTCTCTACTGTTTGAAGGACTGAGACAGACTCCCTTCAATACAGGCAAAGCTACTGGATGCAACCTCCTGTAAAAGGGACAGCTGAGAGCTATTGTCATCCAAAGAGTGAATTAACCTAGAATTTTCTTTTTTTCAATTTTATTAATATTTTAAAAAATACATAAAAATACAACATCCAATGTCTGAATAAATATATTTAACAAGTTGCAAGATAATACCTTATTTTACACAAAATTTTCAGCTTTAGAAATCTTGTTAAATAACTTCATTGTTGTTATATATTTCATTTTTGTCTTTTTGTAACAAAATAAAAACTCTGAAATTACATAGAAAAAAGACAAAATATTTTTGTCAAGGGATAAGATAGTCCACTGAAAACTTATTCACAATTCCACTGTAAACATTAATAAACATTAAAATATTTGCATAATTGTGTGCTCAAAAATCCTATAAAAAGTGGAAGACTTATTACAACTGTAGTTTTCAGTCAACTACACTTCCTTTCACAATTTATTTTGTCCCATTTACATCTTTAAACCTGGGCACACTGCTGAACATATATACTTTGGCAGTTCTAAATAGCAAGTGCTTCCACAAAAATAAAAAAACAAGTAAAAAACAACAACAACAACAACAACAACATAAACCCCCTACTCACCAAGTGTTCAAATACATCTCAGTGAAAGTGCAGCAGTCACTACTCAGCTGGATAATATTTTGATGTTTATCATGTGCACTTGCTTGTCTATGATTTCTATAACATTTGAAAGCTTTATTATACAAATTGAATTTGCTAAGTGCCCTTTTTCTATCTTCACGAAAAATGAAAAAAAAGTTAAAGAGGAAAAATTATGACAAATATGGCAGGCTGCCTAACCTTCAATTATTAATCAGCTTATTTTTTGCAACAGAAAAAAAGAAAAAAGAGGGAATAGATACAATCCAGCCTGGAAAGGTATACAGGATATACTTAGCAATGTCAAACCAGTTGAGTGCTTTCTGTGGTTGTATTTCAGGGTTTTGGGATTTATGTCCATGGCAGCAAACTGCTGGGAAGGCAGAGAAAACGTTCATCACCTGCATTCTACAGCCAGTACATTTTGTGGGGGAGATGAGGATGAGGGGCTCATTCCAGTGTCTGACGAAGCAGATGACATGGAGGCTCCTGCATGAGACACTGTGGAATCAAAATAACTACATCAGACCTCTTAGACTATCACATAAAGATACCCAGCCACTGGCAAGTCAGAAGTAAATTTCTTAGCATTCATTTCAATTACAGTCCTCTTAAATGGTGCCAACATTTGGAATAACAAACTGTCAGCAAAAACTGTTTGGGACAATTGAGTGGAATCACTCTCTGGTCAAATAACTCAGTCCAAAAAAGGCATCTTAAAATGTAAAGATAAAAGAGATAATAAACTCTTAAACCCTAACTTGAAAGATAGTTGGAAGGAACTCACCTTGCCTCAAAACCAAAACAAGGTCAACCAGGATTAAATTCTCACTGTGGCAAGTTCCTCCTTTTTCTCTGGGCTCTCGGACCATAAGAGAATTCACTCATCCCAGAGAATCTCCTCTAAGCAGCTAACCACTGGCTTCCTACCCTCACCCTGCCCCAGGCGACCTAATGAATGCACACAGCATCCCATAAGCAACAGCAGTTATCCAGGTCAGGTTTCAGAATCCTGATGGTATCAGGATCAGGATGGAAGTGTGAGTGTGTGATTAGAAAAATGTCCTCACAGGGCACTTGCCTGGCTCAGTCAGGAGGAGGGTGTGCGACTCTTGATATCGGGGTTTTGAGTTCAAGCCCCATAATGAGTGTAGAGATTATGTAAAAAAAAAAAAAATAAAATAAAATCTTTAAAAAAAAAAACAAACAGGAAAAAAGTCCTCATATGACTTTAACAGAACTCTCCAGGAGGACATAACACAGATTAAGGATCACTACTCTATGAATTTGGTAATTAGCCTTTTTTGGTTTTTTTTTTTTTTCTTTCTTTGCAAAGCTCCCATCTCCTGCCAAACTTTGCATACTTGTTCCTATTTAAATTTTTAAGTATGTCTCTCCCAGTGTGTACGTGTACTATCAATGTGACATGTAACTCATTACTATGAATTCTAATATTCCAGAAATCACTCAGGATCTCACTTTAATAACTCACTTTGCACTACAAAAAATTAAGAAAACAAAAAAGGAAGACTGTAATAAAAGAATCTTTCTAGTTGTCTGAAACTCCTATCAGCTTTAGGAAACTTACAGCAATTCAGGGTGCTCTGAAGAAATTTCAACTTGCTCATTTGCTCTTCTTTTTAAAAGTTTAAAAGTTCTGTAAAGACTTCTTCTTGCTATTTACAGTTGTTAAAGAAAAGGACAAACATGGAAATCCTAATCTTCTATTTGCTCTGTCTTATTTCTAGGAATTAACACTGCTAGACTTGGACTAGAGTGATTCAAGATCACATATGATACAGGTAATTTTACCAGAAATTAGCTCCCAAGGGGCGCCTGGGTGGCTCAGTGGGTTAAAGCCTCTGCCTTCGGCTCAGGTCATGATCCCAGGGTCCTGGGATCGAGGCCCACATCGGGCTCTCTGCTCAGCAGGGAGCTTGCTTCCCTTCCTCTCTCTCTGCCTGCCTCTCTGCCTAATTGTGATCTCTGTCTGTCAAATAAATAAATAAAATCTTAAAAAAAAAAAAAAAGTATTAAAAAAAAAAAAAAAAAAAAAATAACTCCCCCAAACCCTCTGCCACAGGCAAAAAACTCTTGATATAAAAAACCCTATCACATAATTCACCTCCCTTTTTTTTTTTTTTTTTTTAAGAGACAGAACCTGGAGCCCTCACCTCCTATCCATCCTATTCCTGGAATAGTTGGCTCTCTAGGCAGTGGTCACCCTTTCGCTTTCATCACCTTTCATCACTTTTCTTTACTGTTTTCCTAAGTGGGATTCCTTGTTTCCTGGATTCTATGTTGTCTTCTTAGCTTTCTAGTTTCTAGTTTGGCTTCTAGTTTCTAGTGCACTGAGAAACCTGATGCTGTTCTAAGACCCAATTTTTAGGTATACCTTTATACGGTAAATCAAAGGGTTCTGAAATTTCACAGTGCTTTGGGTGTGATTTTTCTCCCCCCCATTCTTTATAGATGTTACAGTTGAGTCCTTTCATCTTCTAATTCATATCCTTTGTTTCTGGAAGTTCTTCTTATAATACTTCTCTGATGACAGCTGCCTCCTGTGTTTGTTCAGTACTCTTTTTCTAGAAAGCCTGTGATTCAGAAGTTGGATCTCTTGACCAGATCCTACACTTCTCTTAGTTCTTTTCTCCTATTGTCTTTTTGACCATGTACTGGGATTTCTTTAGCTTTGTTATCTATCTCTTCTATTACATTTTTAAAGGTTCCTGCTGTCGTATTTGTAATTTTTGAGAGATCCTTCTTGGTCTCTGAATTGTATTAATAGTATAGTATTTGGGGGCGCCTGCCTGGGAGGCTCAGTCAATCGTGTGCCTTGGGCTCAGGTCCTACCTTTATGTAGAAGCTTTCTCATCTGGTCTTGGGGCTCCCATATTTAAGAGAGGGGCATTAAAAGCTAATTAGAAGCTGTGTGTGAGTATGCGGAGCTTTTCAGTGATGGGCAGAGCATATGTAGTGATTGGCAAGGATCTTGCTTTTTGGTTCAGGAACCTCTAAATTTGGTCTCTTTGTTAGTTCCTCTTGGGTTGATCAGCTTCTCCACAAGAATCCTTCAGTCTCCTCCAAAGAATGAACATAAACTTAGTTGCCAGATTTCAGGAAGCCAAGAGGTAAGAGTTTCCGTTGGAAAAGGGACAGGGGTTTCATCATTCACTACTACAGACTTTTGCTCAGGCTTATTATTTCTGCTTTTGCACTCTCACCTTCAGCTATGGCTGGTGTCCCCGAGTCTACAGTTACAGTTACTGATTGTCTACACAATCAGTTAATTTTCTGTTTTCTGCTAGAGCTGCAGAAGAAGGTAGTTTGGATCACAGGATGGGACAAAAGGATGCAATTTCTCCTTCCATTTTCAACCAATCTCCATTTTTAGCCTCACCTACATCCCTGCTTGCAGAGTTGCAGTGATGTGGTATGGACTGGATTGCTCTTTGTTTTGCCCCACGGCAAGGATAAACAAGCTTAGGTTTTAGCAGTCCATCTGCTTCTCATCTTCCAAGAGAGAAACTGTTGACATTTCTAGGTCTACTGTGGTCCCCTATCCCATTATCTTGTTCTTGTGGGTACAGGGCTTTTCATTTTTTTACTGCTCTTTTAGTGGGGCTTGCAGACGGGGTAGATGTGTGTGAACCTATGTGTAATAAGTCAGTCCTACAGAGTTTTAAGGTCTAAGTCAGACACTACTCTCTCTCCATGATTAATCCAAAGTAATCGCTCCTTTCACCAACTCTTTCACCTACTTGGTGATTTCACTCTTGATGCCCTCATCACATACCCTTTCTGCTAGAAATTAAGATCTTTGAAATCAAAGTCTGTATCCCATTCATCTCTGTGCTTTCACCACCTTGAAGAGAGCCTGGCACATAGTGTGAACACATTAATGTTGAGCTGAACAATTTCAACTTCTGTTGACTTCCTTCCTTAGGAAATAATTTATGATCGTAAAAAGATTATCTCTCTGAGGATAACCCACATGCCCACTAATTTTGGTGAACCTCATAATAACAAATATAGTAACTAGTAAGAGGTAGCCAATAAGTATCTGTTGAGCAAAGAGTGAATTTCAGAGGGAGTAACTAACTCTTCTTGGGAACCCACCACATTTAATAAAATCACACATTTTGTAAAATAGTTCACAGTCCTTTTCAATAGTCTCATCCTGATTAATTCAGCTGTTGATGTACTCATTTCAATAATATCACAAAGAAGATAGAACTAGGATCTAAAAACAACAATAAATGTGTACTATATCCAAAGAGTAACTAAGGTAAATCTTCTAAAATGACAGCATATATTTGAAAAACAAGGGAAGAAAAACTCTAATCAAATTACCTTCTCTGTCTTTCTTTTTTAATCTTTTCCTCCTCCTGTCTATGGTTGCAACTTCAGATTTCAAAGACATGTAATATTTTCTGATTTCTTGTAATTTTTCTTGGAGAAAAGAGATTCGCTCTGTACTATTCATATTATCTAATTCATCTAAAAGGAGAAAAAAGGTTAATTTGGTTTTTAAAGTAATTATCTGAGGAAAGAAGATGGCATTTCTATCAAAACTCAACCTCTAAATCATCAAAAGCTTTAGTTTATTAAAACTTTCCATATTAACTAAATAAGGCTCTAGAAACAGGGATGACAGTAATTAAATTCATGAATAAGGTTTCTGTATAAATCCCAAATTTTTTATACCAAATATGTATTACTTAATGATGTATTACTTAAGTAATCAGATAAACACAAGAAAACATCAACACACAGCAACCCTGATCTGTAATTGTAGTTATTCATCCAAGTAGTTTCTTTGTATCAATGATTTTTTCATTCATTGGTTATTTTCAGTTGTCAGTAATGGGGTATTTCAGTTTCATTGATTAGACAAACACACATCTTATTTCGTTACTGGAGATCTTTCTCTAATATTTATCAGGTTATTATTATGAAAAGGCATTGATTTATGTTTAAGATGGTAAGGGGTGATTACTGATAAAACAATATTTGGAAACCTACATAAATGGATCTGGTAGCCACTGTTTGTTATTTTGACATTTTAAGGTAAATATCACTTTTACAAAATACATTCAGGTTTTCTAAAGCTTCTTACTGAGTTGAAAGCTCCATTTATATGTTCTAGGGGATGAATTCGGGTGTTTTTCCCTGTGTTTATCCTTTTCTCCATCTTTGATGTGAGGGGAAATTCTTGCAGGAGATCGTGCAAGCTTCTGTGGCTTCGACACACTAAGATGCTTTACTGGTGTACATTTACTTGAATTGTCCAGGACAGGAAGATCTTCACTATCACTACTTTGTCCTAGAATAAGAAAAAATGGATTCAGAGATTATAAATGAAAAATATCAAATATCAAAATGCAGCAGACCCAGCAATTATACTGGGTCTGTATCCTACAGAAATAAGTGTACAAATGCACAAATTTCTTAACAATAAAGAAATGGAAATCTAAATGCCAACCAATGGGAAAAAGGTTAAAAATTATATACACTTGATTTTTGAACAACGTTGGGGTTAGGGGCACTGACCCCTCATGCACTCAAAAATCTGCATTTACTTCTGACTCCCCAAAAACTTAATTGCTAACAGCCTATCGCTGATCGGAAGCCTTACTGATACCATAAATTGATTAACACAGAGTGTATAAGTTATATACATTATACAGTATATTAATAAATTAATAATTATAAATAATAATAATAAATAAAGTAAGCTACAGAAAGAAAATGTTAGAAAATCATAAGGAACAGGAAATACATTAACAGAACCCTAAAAAAATCTGTTTAAGTGTATCTGCACAATTTAAACCCCTGTTGTTCAAAGGTCAAGTATACTATTGAATACTTCGAAGTTAAAAAGAATGAGCTAAGGTTTATAAGAACAAAAATGGCAAAATATCCAATATATACTGTTAAATAAAAAAGCAAAGTTATAAAACAATATGTACAGTATTGCCCCATTTATGGTTTTTTGTTTTTTTGGTTTTTTTTATAAAGTAAAAATTCAGTTTATTCATCTGTTTATGACACAGTACACAAGAGGCAAAGTGTTTCACATCATAGATTTCACTTCCAACTCCTTGGAATGTTCATTTCTTTGGCTAAAAAGAGAGACTAGACATGAGAGGCAGGCAATGCTTAGGCAACTGCAATAAGGATGGGGAGTGGGTGATACTAATGCCATCCCTGTGGGGACGGGCACAAGGGGACTATTAGTCATAAGCTATTTTCTAGAATTGTTAGCTGGAAACAAAGGAGCACCACTCCTGGATGCTTAAACGTTGTGGGCCTCGGGGCGCCTGGGTGGCTCAGTGGGTTAAGCCTCTGCCTTCAGCTCAGGTCGTGATCTCAGGATTCTGGGATCGAGCCCCGCATCGGGCTCTCTGCTCAGCAGGGAGCCTGCTTCCTCCTCTCTGCCTGCCTCTCTGCCTGCTTGTGATCTCTGTCAACTAAATAAATAAAATCTTAAAAAAAAAAAAAAAAACAAAACAAAAAACGTTGTGGGCCTCAGTCATCCCCACCACACAGGTACAGCAGCGCTTTCTGGTAGTCGCCCTTCGTGTCTTGCTGGATGTAGTAATACAGGGACTTGCCATACTTTCTCTTGAATTCAGACCTAATTTTCAACATGTCCACTTCACTGTGAGAGACCATGATTCTTATCAGAACTTTATCACGAGTCCCCTTGCCCTTCATGCAGTCGTACAGCCGGTCAGCAAAATACAGGGGCTTATTCTGAATGCACTGGACCAGGTTTAGAAAAGCATTTTCCAGGTCTCCTTTGACCTCCTTCTTGATGCTCTCCAACATGTCATAAGGGCTGTAGCTCTTGTACCTATCAAATACTTTCTGGAGGTGACACACACTCCGCTCAGTCATGATGCTGATCCACTTGGGTGCATCAGTTCCTTTCCTCTTCACTCCGGCATCATAGACATCCCGGGCATCTTGGTCAATCAGTTCATAATCAATGACAGAGCCATCCTCTGCTCTTCTACCCTTTACAAGGGCAACCATCAGCTTGCAGAAGTCACCAGATGTGTCAGAAACGATGTCCTTCTCCAGATCAGTCTTGTACATTTCCTTGTAGACTCTGTTAATTTCCTGAAGCTCTTGGTTGGTCCTTGAGCAGATGATCTCAATGAGGGAGTCCTCATCAGTCCCCAGTCCCTTCATGGAGGCTTTCAGCTCAGAAGCGTCATACTGAGCAGGTGTTTTTAATAGGCCCAAAATCACTGTCTCCAGGTGGCCAGACAAGGCTGATTTCAGTGCTGATGCAAGTTCCTTTTTGGTCCTTCTCTGGTAGGCGAAGGCAATATCCTGTCTCTGTTCATTGCTGCGGTTGGTCAAAATGTTGACAGTGGTTACCTCATCCACACCTTTGGTCTTGATGGCCGTTTCAATGTTCAGAGCATCACGCTCAGCATCAAAATTGGTGTATGCTTTGACTGACCCATATGCACTTGGGGGCGTGGAGTGATCACCCTCCAAGCTGAGCTTGCAGAGAATTTCGTGAACAGTAGACATTTTGAAGGAAGCTGGGCCCAGCGCCGAGAGCAGCAAGCGGCCCCAGTTGTAGAGCCCCCATTTATGTTTAAAACAAGACATAAAGCTACCCAAATTGCATAAATGAAAAAGCACAAAAATACTTGATGTATACACTTCCTTTAACATACATATAATAAAATGTGATCAGATAATCATTTGCAACTCTGTCCCTCCTCACCAGATTTGTACTTAGATATGCTTTTGCTTTTCACTTCATAACAAATTAGAATTCTCTGTTTTACTTTTTTTTTTTTTCCCCAATCTCTCATACCCAACTTCCTTCCTACTCTCAAAAGCCAACCTTGCCTTCTACTGAAAAAGCAAAGTTGAATGTTACGTACTCAATTTCCCAGCCTCTCCTCTACCTGCATCTGTCTTTATTAACTTTTGGGGGGGCTCAGAAAGAGGAGAATGCTTTTGAAGACTAATCTCTTCAGCTGTACTCTTAAAACCATCCACTCACAGCTCCTCTAAAATAGCCCAACATCAACTATCCCTCTTCTTTTATCTTCAGCTTCTTTTCCCAGTTTACCAACATGCTTACATCCTTCCCACCCTGAGAGAGGGAGGGAACAGAAGGAGAACTTCCCCTTTTAGCTGGCACCTCTTTCCTTCTCTCTAAAGTCGAATTTCTTGAAAGAAATTCTTTGTTATCCTGATTTCCACATCTTCTAATCACATTCCCATGCTCTTGTTAGGGTCCCAACATTTATAATTCACCAAATTCATTGAATGTATTTTAATCATATTGCATATCCTATAGAATTCAAAACTTTCTCATTCAAACCCACTAGCATTTAGTGACTTGCATTTGTCTCTGATCAATGCCCATATAAAGACAGCCCACTGAATTATATTTTTGGTTCTTTTTCTTTTCATTTTACAACTCTCCCATGGCAATTTCATCATCTTGCAATCCTTCACATAACCATCCTCTAAAAACAGACTCTTCTCAGCTTCAGACCCCTACTTCCCTAATACTGGGTACCCCTAATTCAACATTCTCTAAATTACTCTTCCAACAACCTGCTGCTTCTCCTGTATTCCATATGGTCATCAGCAGGTCCCTCATATATAACTAATAATAACTGAGTCCCACTGATTCCATCTCTTAAATTCATTTCCTCTTGACAAATAAGAAATCCCACAAGTAAAACTGATGATCTTTCTTTTTAATCTTTTTAACTTTTTAGACAATCCTTAAACTTACAAAAAACTTGTAAGATCAGTTACCAAAAAAATGTTTTTCTGACCCATTTGAAGTTTAAGCTACTCAGCCATACTTGAGTTCTTCAGTGCTTCTTTCTTACAAATAAGAACATTCTTCTCGTATTAGTTATCTGCAACCTGGCCCCAAACTTAACAGTTTAAAACTACAAATGGTTATCTCTGGGATATCTGGATATCCCAGATATCTCACAATATCTGGGATCTGGGAGAAGCTTGGCTGTGTAGTCTGGCTCAGAGAATCCTGCGATGTTGCAGTCAAGCCTTTAGCTGAAGCTGTGGTCTCGGAAGACTTCACTGCAGCTGAAGACTATGTTTCCAAGATGGTTCACTCATGTGGCTTTTGGCAGGAGGCCTCAGCTCCTTGCTTGCTGTTGGCAGGATGTGCTCAGTTCACCATGTGGACCTCCTCATAGACTACTGTGTCCTCAGGACTTGGCAACTAACTTTCCTTAGACCAAGTGATCCAAGGGTGAGCAAGGAGGAATCTGCGGTGCCTTTTTTTTTTTTTTTTTTTTTTTAATTTGTCAGAGAGAGAGAGAGAGAGAGAGAGCACAGGCAGACAGAGAGGCAGGCAGAGTCAGAGGGAGAAGCAGGCTCCCTGCCGAGCAAGGGGCCCGATGTGGGACTCGATCCCAGGACGCTGGGATCATGACCTGAACCGAAGGCAGCTGCTTAACCAACTGAGCCATCCAGGCGTCCCTCTGCGGTGCCTTTTATGACCTAGTCTCTGAAGTCATATTCTACCACTTCATTTAGCCCACACTCAAGGGAAGGGAATTAGGCTTTGTCTCTTGAAGGGGAGAATTATCAACAGATTTATAGGTACATTTTTAAAACCACCACACACTTAAAGAACCATAATACAACAATCAAAATCAGGAAATGAACACAAACATATTAACATCTAATTCTCAGATCCTATACAAGCTTCTCTACTTGACCCAATCATGTCTTTTGTAGCAATAGGATCCGGCGAGAATCATATGCTGCTTTTAATTGTCATGTCTCATAAGCCTCCTTTAAATCTGCAACAGTTCCTCTTTCCTTGACTTTCATGACCTTTGCAATTTCCTAAATTACAGATCAGTTATTTTATAGAAGACCCTTCAGTTGAAATTTGTTGGTGGTTCCTGATGGTTATATTCAGGTTATGCCTCTTTGACAGGAATGTCACAGATGTGCTCCTGTGTTCCTGTTGCATCGTGTCAGGTAGTACGTGATTCCCATTAGTCCCATTACTGGTGGTGTTCACTTTGATCGTCTGACAAACCTATCTGCCAGGCACTATGACGTTATTAAGTTGCCCTGTGTAATTCCTGCTGACTCTCCATTCTCATTTCCCATCACTCCTCCTCTGTACTCTGTATTGTCCAGCCACTAGCCACATGTGGCTCTAAGAACTTCAAATATGGTTCAAAAGTTTTCCTCTGAAATAACCTTTTATCTTATATAAACTATATGCTCCCTCCATAGGATATGTATCTACTGTAACCTAGAATTTTCTTTTCAGCCTTGTATGAAGGCATGTTTTGGAGATAAGACTTTGTCAAAATCAACCATGTTTATTTCTGCTATATTCCACAACCTAGTTTTATTCCACACAGAAGTCTTTCTCATGTATGCTATTCATACTGATTTACTTTCTTGTTTCTGTAAGAATCTATCTTCTTGTTTTAAAAATACCATGATACTATTTAGAAATCAGCTTTTCTAGATTCAAGTAAACCATTCCATTCAGAAATATAAACTTAATCTGCCTTTACCACTAGAACAAATATTACTTTCCTATTATTCAAGATTCTCAAATACGTTCCTCAGTATTAAACCACGTTACATAAGAAATACAAATGAAATGAGCATAAAAACGAATCAGCTATCCCAGCTCCAAATAAAACTGACAAGCCCCTTCAGATTAAAAACCAGTGGAAAAATTGCGATTTCCAGAACATAATAAACCAAACATTTAAAAAAAAAATTTTTTTTATTTTAATTAAGTAAATTCCACCCCCAACATGGGGCTTGAACTCACAACTCTGAGAGTAAGAGTCACGTACTCTACCAAGTAAGCCAGCCGGATGCCCCTAAACCAAATTTATTTTTAAATTGACACAAATGATCGAACCAACAAAACGCTGAAAATATTAACACTATGCTAAAGCCAGCATTGGAAAGCACCAACCTGTTCCATTCTTTTCACTTTTGGCTACAGCACTTGTTCGCTTTGGGGTACGCTTTTGTTTTTTTGCCAATAATCCGCTATTTCCATCACTTGGCCTTTTCTGACCTGAAATAAGGGGAAAGAGACAATTGAAAAATATATATATCATTTTGGATACCATTAGTTTATTATAAAAGAGACATGGAAATTATTTACATGATTAAAGATTCCACAACTCAGTGGAATGGGCAGCTTCCCATGATGCCATTTCAATAATGATTTATTAAGTGTACGTGCTGAGAACGTCACCATCTCCAAATAAAAAATAATCCTTGTCATCTAGAATGACTTTGAGCCTCCATATTCTGGGAGAAGAACTTTATCTCCAACTTTCACACTAACTGGTTGAATCTCTCTACCCTTTCCTTTAGAGCCCGATCTAACAACTATTACTATTGCTTGCAATACTTCTCCATCAGAGTTTTCTGGAAGCATAATGCCTCCTTTGGTTACAGTTTCAGCTACACTCGTTTCAACTACAACTCAGAAAGGGGAAGAAACTTTCTAAATGCCTGTCCTGCCATAACTCCCACTACCGCAGTTCGTACCCCTCTCTGGAGCCACGGCCAGGCAAGAGCAGCTGTAATTATTCACCTGTCTACTCCAAATAAATTTCTATATATACTTTTTTTTTTTTTTTTTTAAGGCAGGGGAAAGGAGAGGGGGAGGTAGAAAGGAAAGCATGAATAAGAGGGAGGGAGGGAACTTTACTGCTCAAGAGCTCCTAAAACTCTTAACTTATTAATTTTGGGGTTGATCATAAAGGCTGATATTCTCCCTAGAAAGTCCTTACCCTTCTCTCTGTTTTCTCTTTCTTGAACAATTATACTACAGGTACCAGAGGCAACACTGGCTTCAAACCCATTCGCTGATTCCCTCTCACAGAGACCTTCTTGAGATTCTTCAGCAATGCTATCAACTTCAATGGTTATGTCACTCTCACTTTTTATACTTCGAGACTCATCTTGACTGAGGGTAAGTGGTGAAGCTACTGAAAAGTTATGCTGTACTACAGGAGGAAGGGCAGGTGGGATAGAAACAAGAGAGTTAGACTCAGAGCTTTCAACTACTGCATCTTCAATACTGGTCTTATCCTTCTCATCCAAATCATCCAGATCGACTTCATGGCAAACCAAAGTCTCAGGCCCAATCAGAGGCATTGCATCCTCTTCTTCTTTCCGTGGAGTATTTACAGTTTCTTCAGCGGGATTGTCAGATTTTTCACTAGTCAATTCTTGAATGCGTTGGTTTGACTCTGCAATTAATGATGGCATTCCTTCATTTTCTGTTTCAAAGTGTTGCTCAAAATTTAAGTTTTTCATTCCCTCAGATGCAACACAGTCACTGGTCTTTTCTTGACATAAGCTGTTTGTCATTTCCATTCCATTCTCAATTCGTATTTTTTTCTCTGGTGATGATTGTCCCAGTATTTTCCGTTTCAACTTTTTTTCTTTTGCACATTGGTCAGTTTCATCTTCGGTAGTAGAAGAGAAGTTTTTACTGTCTAATGAAGAAAATTCTAGACTCTGAGTTTCTATATGAGGTTCACTTCCAGCTTCATCCTGGCTAAATGATGAAATCTTTATAATTTCTAAAGAAAGGTCTTTTGTCTTGCTTCGTCTTCCCTTTCCCTTAGGAGATTTTTCAGCCTCTTTCTTAACTTCTTCTATGTGTTCCACTTTACTTCCAAAAATCTGTACTATTTGTTCATTCTCTCCAACTTCTAACTTCAGTGTTTCTAAAGGCTGCATTTGTGTCCTTTCATTTTCTTTTAATATATGTGCAGCAATCTTTGGATTTTCTTCATCTACTTTATCATCATTTAAATTTTCATTTTTTTCTAGTTCTTTACCCTCAGGAGAAAGATCTTCATTCATCAAATTCTTTTCTAAAAGGTCTTCTGTTTCACTATCTGATGAGCAAGAGTCTGCAAAAGGAAATATTATATTACAAAGGTTTCTATCTTAATTACCAATGTAACTTTAGAATAAAAATTCTACCACCCAAACAAAACTCTTAATCATATATCTCTGAGTACATCCCTGTAAAAATTTCTGGTCATACATTTATTTGTGCCCTAAATGCGGGTACTTCAAATTAAACTCCATGTAAAAAATACAACACATTGAAAATATTACTATCTCAATATTATAAAAGAACTATTTTGCCACTAGTATCACATTTAGGCTATGTTAATCCTTAGAATAATCAAAGGACTGGGGCACCTGAGTGGCTTAGTTGGTTGAGCATGCCACTCTTGGTTTTGGCTCAGATCATCATCTGGGGGTCATGAGACTGAGCCCCACATCAGGCTCAACACTCAGTAGGGATTCTGCTTAGGATTCTCTCTCTCCCTCTGCCCCTCACCCCTGTACTGACTCTCTAAAATAAATAAATAAATGTTAAATTTTAAAAAAAGAGAAAGAAAAATCAAAGGACTAGTACTGAAATTATATTAATACATTAAGTGGTTTGATCTGAGGTCTAATAGGTACTGATTGATAAATGTGATGGGCATTTTGTGTCCCTAGAAAGAATTATTTAACATAATTCTGAAAAGAGGAGATGTACAAAATGAGCAATTTGAATTCCCCAAAATTTAAATGTTCTTCTGATTAAAAGACATAAAAGTATAGGCAAGCAAACTTTTTTTTTTTAAGATTTTATTTATTTATTAGAGAGAAAGAGATAGAAAGCACAAGTGGGGGAGCAGCAGGCAGAGGAAGAAGTAGGCTCCCTGCTGAGCAGAGAGCCCAACACAGGGCTGGATCCCAGGACCCTGACCCAGGATCATGACCTGAGCTGAAGGCAGACACTTAACTAACTGAGCCACCCAGGTGCCCCTAATCAAGCTACCTTCTTGCAAAAGAAATCATTCTCATTAAGTTAAAGAATTTTTTAAAATAATAAGGGCTGTAAGGAGCTATAAAATATACTTATTTTATAGTAAATTATTTTTAAAAATAATAAATTAGGCTGTAAGAAACTATAAAACATAAAAATTCTGCTCACATGGTGATCACATTGTAAACAAGTTCAAAAAGGCAAACCTAAATGTATTTTTTTAAGTGAAAAGGTATAAGGTTTTGTGATTTTATCATATTCAAAGTTTAGAATCCATTTGTTCTCATGTTAAAAAAAGAAGTTTCATCTAGGAGTTGAGCAAGACTAAGACTACTATGTATATAGTTTTGTCGTTTGTACACTGCACAAGAGCATGCTATCAAAGGACACCTTACGCTTTGTGGGTATCTACCATTTGTGTATTATGACAACTTCGCAGCAGATGGCAGTAAGGAGGTATGAGCATACCCTTCTCTATTTTACACACAAACTCTATATGGACAAATGGCAATCTCATAGTTCAGAATACCTTTTTTCTTGAAGGGAGGGAAAATGTCATATAAGACCACTATTTAACATTCTAATTTACGTGGGAAAGCACACAAAGGAAGAAAGGTGGGGGTAAAGTTAAAAACAAAATAGGATATATTCACCTATACTCATCACAAAATACCTATATTGCATTAGTTTGTGCTTTTTGAAAACTTTGGTCTCAGCTTTGTTGAAATATCCTAGGTGAACAGCACTGAGTTATGAGAAACACTGATGCACGTCTGAAAGACAGTGCAGCACAGAGTAGGATGCATGACTTGTCAACCCATCTTCTTTTAAAATAGAATATTCTGGGGCACCTGAGTGGCTCAGTCGTTAAGTGTCTTCCTTCGGCTCGGGTCATGATCCCAGAGCCCTGGGATCAAGCCCCGCATCAGGCTCCCTGCTCAGCAGGAAGCCTGCTTCTTCCTCTCCCACTCCCCCTCCTTGTATTCCTTCTCTCTCTGTCTCTGTCAAGTAAATAAATAAAATCTTAAAAAATAAAATAAAATTAGAATATTCCTACAAGAATAAGAAAAATATTTCTAAATTAAAATAAAACCACTAAATTTTAAATAAACATGATATACTAAAATATTTTCTTCAAGTCAAATTTTGTAGTGTAAATTATATGAGATTAAAAACTTAGATGACCTCCTATGAATTTCACACACAAGTGAAGTTTTATTGTTTATATTATTGATTTTTTTAAATCAATGATCCTCAAAATCGAGCACCTTCCATTCCATTTGACAGAGGTGAGCTGTCTGGCATATTGCTGCGAGCACTTCTGGTACCTGATTTTCCTTCACTGTTTGGAGTCTTAGACAAACCATACGGCATGTTCGATGAAAGTGTAGATTTTAAAGGAGGTCGTCCTCGTTTTGACTTCTGCCTCTCCTCATCCCTCTTTTCATCCTTTTCGCTGTCGTCTTTATTCTGGGTAACAACAACAAAATGTATGAAAAGGGCCAGTGCCTTAGAAAAAATAAACATTCTATTTCTCCAAGGAGGATCAAAACTCAGAAAGATTACATATTTTATATGTCAACTCTTAATTTGTGCTTATAGAAACATTAAAAGCAAGTTGTTTTCTAACACAGTTTGTATTTATATGAATATGATAGTCTACAGTTTGCAACACTGCAATTACATTGTGAAAGCCAGAGTCCATGCATTAGAGAGATGCACAACTACTCAGCACCTTCCCCACCTCATTCCTTACTACTCCCTGAGCACCAGAAAGATATCTACATTAAACAGACAAAACACTAGGTGAATCTCTACAGCAAAGGCTGAAAATCAAGGGTGTGGTTGTGAGTATAACTAGCCAGTAGGTATGTGTTTTAAAATCTCGTATTAGCTTTCAAGACAGTGACTTAAAAAAATCCTAAAATCTGGCAACCCTGAGTCTGCATCCCACAGGAGACTGGTGAGTTCCACCTTCCCTTGGTTAGGAAAGTGTCCTCTTTTTTGTCACTATCAACCCTGCTTTACCCTTTTTCTGTATAGCTCCTATAGACATTTGAGTTTGAAGCCTATACCCTAAGGGGTCCCTGGTTTTTATCTTTCCTGAAACAATGTGATAATGTGTTTACATTTTTGTTCTTTTAGGTTCTGGGTTATAAGAGAGAAAATCACAACTACCTTAAAAGAATCAAGAGGATTATCATAATGAGAAAACAAGATTTATAAAAAACAGTACAATATAAATAATACCTATATTTATCATAAAGGATATGACTCTATATACATACTTTTGCTTTTTTCTTCTGTTTTTTCTTTGGTCCACCTTTGTCCAAAGGCCAGATTATCCTGTCAGCCTTCACCCATTCATCATACCTTAAAACAAAGAAAAAAATTAGAACTTTACAATACCTTATTTGAATGTATGCACCAAATAATACAACAGTGAGAAAACTAAAGAGTCTGGTTCTAGTGTTGGCAGAAACATGGAGAGCACAGGGGCTGGCTTGTTTGTAACGTGTGCCAGCTTGTGCTGGGTGCTTTGTTGACTCACCACCAACCGTTGAAGGCAAGAGAATGTCTTAGGGTAAACAAGGTCAGAGGAAGAGCTAGGTGGGCAAACTCTACACAGACTCACAACTGAACCGCTCTTCTTTTCCAAAACTGTATATTTGTTTCCCACAGATCTGAGCTTAATGCAATACGTGTGTGCTACACTGCCATTCACCCTATTGACTGAATAATGCAAAGGGAAATCAGGTGAATTCCCATTTGTAATATGATCAGTTCCAGGTTTATTTATAAAGTCCTTGTCAACTCTCTTTTCCTCTCAGAACTCTATAGCCTCCAGTATTTCTAGGGAAATTTTATTCTGAACTATGTCACCTCTAAAACTCTGGAAAAAAAAAATTTTAAGATTTTATTTATTTATTTATTTGAGAGAGAGAGCATGAAGGGGGGAGGTCAGAGGGAGAAGCAGACTTCCGCTTAGCAGGGAGCCCAACTCAGGACTCAACCTTGGGACTCCAGGATTATGACCTGAGGCGAAGGCAGTTGCCCAACCAACTAAGCACCCAGCTGCCCTAAAACTCTGAAAATTTTTAGAGATATTTCATTTCCTTTATCCAAGTTTATCTGTTTAGCTCAAATTGAAAACTCATTTCCCCTATACCTTTTTCCAAAATATTAACATCACTTTTAAACTTCAACATGGTCCAAGTTACTAATCAGGGGCAAATAAGAAATTAAACTTTGTAGAATACCAGTTCTTCCATGATGTAAACATACAGGTATTCATAGAGCTCGATCAAAATCTAAAATCTGAACATTTAAGCAAAAAAATACTACAGGCAGTTCTTGTTTTGAACTGCACTGTGTTAATGAAAAACATCCTCATGCTTTGTAACCCAGGTACCATGGTGCCGTGCAAAGTAAGAACATAGTTCCAATATCCACATTTTGGTAGACTCAGGACCATGACTATCTATTCTATGGTTTGAATACTATCTCTTCCTGGACTAACCCAATTATTTTCATTTTTCCAGGTATTCTTACCTCATTTAGAAATATTCACTCATTTGGACATTTACTGAGGGCCTACCAGCATCCCAGGCACTGTATGAGGAAATGTGTAAAGAATAATAGAGAAGAGGAGGAAGGTCCTTCCTCTCTGCAACTTGCAGTATGGTGTGAAAGACAGACAGTAAAACCAAATATAGTCTGGTAAACACAATAAGAGGGCTATTTATGTGTCTGGTCCAGGGCTAATGAAGGAGTAAATGCCCAATTCCAAAATTCCACAGGACGTATCAGACAAGCAAGAAGCACAGTGTACTCTAATCTAGAGTACACTGGGGCCGGAACATACTGGCCTGGCCACCACAGTATGTCATGTAGGTACTCCAGCATGAATAGTGCCAACCAAGGGTGATCCCAGAATTTCTCAACTACAGACCAGAACTCACCTCACAGTTGCACATGCTACCATGTTGCAGAAATCCAATGGATTCTCTAAGAACTACAGTGATTCTGTTTCAATAAGCAGACCAGAATGATACTAGCTTTTAAGAGTACAGAAGGACAATGAAAAACCACAGACCATGTGAGTAGCTAGTTGAGAAGATAACCAACTAGGGAGAATGTAAGCAGATAATAAAATGACTGTTGAGAAAAGTCATATAGTAAAACATTAAAAAAATAAGCACAAGGATGATAGGTAGGGGACATTCTAGAAAGCAGAACAGAAGAATAGACTCACAACAGAGGGTAAGTAAGAGTAGATGGCAAGGAACTGAACAGAAGCAGAGGAAAAATGAAGGTTATCCTGTGCTACAACTGCAAAGGCAGTGACTCAGGGCTGACAAAATGCCCCCCCCCCCATTCAACAATACATGCATACAAAAGAACAATCTCAGAGATGGACTAAAGAGTTTGCATAGAATTACTGAATCATGTTGTGTGCCCGAAACTAGTATGTCATTGTACATCAACTATAAACATTCAATAGTAAACATTTTATCTTGTTAAGTACAAAAGTTTCAGGGCACCTGGATGGCTCAGTCCGCTCACTGAGTGTCTGACTCTTGATTTTGGCTCAGGTCATGATCTCACGGTTGTGAGATCAAAGCCCACCCCCAACCAGGTTCCAAACTCAGAGGGAGTCTGCTTGAGATTCTCTCTCCCTCTGTCCTCCCCTCACTCGTGCTCTTGATCGCTCCCTAAAATAAGTCAATAAACTCTTCTAAAAAATTTAAAAAGTTTGTTCCTAGTATTGGCAGAAGTGTGAAGGGCATAGGCTGGTTTGAGAACTTTTTTTTTTTTTTTTAAAGATTTTTATTTATTTATTTGACAGACAGAGATCACAAGCAGGCAGAGAGGCAGGCAGAGAGAGAGGGGGAAGCAGGCTCCCTGCTGAGCAGAGAGGCGGATGCGGGGCTCAATCCCAGGACCCTGAGACCATGACCTGAGCCAAAGGCAGAGGCCCAACCCACTGAGCCACCCAGGCGTCCCTGGTTTGAGAACTTTTAAAGTTTTATATAGTATTCATTAAACCCATACTCTTAAAATGATGCAAAATGAAAGAAACCTAACTCTCCCTCACTGAAGAAAACAGGGGCGCCTGGGTGGCTCAGTCACTTTGAGCATATGCTGTCGGCTCAGGTCATGATCCCAGGATCCTGGGATGGAGCCCCACGTTGGGCTCCCTGCTCAGTGGGGAGCCTATTTCTCCCTCTCCCTCTGCTTCTCCCCCCTCACTCTTTTTCTACCCTCCCCCGAAAAAAGTCCTTAAAAAAAGTCAATATTTATTGAGCATTTACTACATGACACGCACTGTTTTAAACACTTTGTATATTAAAACAGGTGGTAAGCACTATTTCTCACATCTCTATAAATATGTACTTCATTTTCCCCAATTTAGAGGTGAGAGAACGGACACATAACACACTTCCAATATGCAGGGAAACCTTGAAGCACATTGGCTCCAAGCAAAGACAGGGGAAGCAGAGATATTAAACACGAGACTTTCCAAAAGAGAAAGAAAAGTAGTCCCTGACATTCAGGAACTGGCTTAGTACTATCAGCCACACAGCTGATCTGGCACTCATAGCCAGGTCCTGTTATTCTCCTGTTGAACAACAATTTCACAGAACAGCAACATCAGACAAGTCTGCTCCATGAGCATGATGGAACAAGACAAAAGCATGACTTCGTAATTGTTAGTATCTAAATACAGGAAAAAAAGGAACATTGTCCAAGCCACAAAAATGATCTTCATCCTTATCTTCAATCACTTGCTGCTGCTTTACCAATTACAACACTAACCTTGGTCTAGTCTTCTCTTCTTTTAGATAAGATTTATTAAGATAACCAGAATTATCACCACTTCCCGACCATGTCCAATCCAGAGCAAAGCCCACTCCCTAACCCTCCCCAAATTACCTAACAAGCTCAAATCTGAGTCTTTTCTAATCTTCATTTTTAAGATTTTGGGTATTTGAGAGAGGGAGAGTGCACAAAAGGTGGAGAGGCACAAGGAGAGGGAGAAAGAAGCAGACTCCTCGATGAGTAGGGAGCCTGACATGGCGCATCTTGATCCCAGGACCCTGGGATCACGACCTGAGCCACTCAGGTGCCTCATCTAATTAAATCAACCTATTTAGAATTATTAGAATGCTTGATACAAACTTCATTTTGAATAAATGTAACAAACCACCTGCACTGCTGAGAGCTTCAGGCCTGTCTCCCCGCCCATGTCCTGAAGGATGTTTCCACATAATCCTGGGCTACTGCTCTTCCAGAGGCGGTGCCCTAGACTTCCGTTAATTCATCTAACACCCTCTTATTGAGATGCCCTCTGGCATCCCATACTCTGTTCTCTCACTGCAAATGAGTAATAAATTCAACCTATTCAACTACAGATAGGATCCTGGTGGGGTGGAAGTACTGACATAGCTAATAAAGCAGTGGGGATGTTGAGAGTTTTGGAGAATTCAGATAAAAGGCGTGCTTTATAAAAACCTATATACCATTTGGTTTAGTCCACAACATTAAACATCTTTTTGAACCATGGAAAGAAATTGCAATAGTAAGAACACAGATTTCTTGCTTACCTAACGTTCCATCCATAATAATGTACCAAGTATAAAACTTCTCCATCATCAATTTCAGTGCTCTTAATACTGGCTTCATAGATTTTCTGCGTTTTCCCTCGACCATATTTTACTTTCACTTTGGTTCCTGTTAGGCAGGGTTCCATGTCTTCCTCATCTTCCTCCCCTTCAGAGTCACATTTGCTTTCTGTTTCTTCCCTGCGGCAAGTTAATAACATTGATAATGCTACTAATTTAATGGAGAACAAATTTAATACATGCTAAAAGAATCCAACATGTAGAATAGTCAAAACCTAAGTATTACCTTAATAACGTGTCAGTGGAGGAGGAGAAGAAGGAGGAGAAGGAGAAGATTTTTATGGACTACCTACTAGGAATTTATTTATTATGTAAAGGTGCACTGTACTTTATACAAGTAAATCTGTATTTCTTAAAGGCCAATCAGTAATCACAGTTGATGATGTAGAGTCTGATTAATCACTTTTGATAAAACAAAGATCTATATCCTTTGAAAAAGTCTTTAGGATTCATACTCAAGTGCTACCTTATTATGTGAAAATTATCTAGCTTGTAACTTCCTGCAACTAAACTGTCGTAAATCTTCTCTACCCAATTTGGAATGGTTCTTCGAAGCTGTTTTAGTGAGCAGAATAATGAACAAGGGCTATCTACCTGAGTAACTTTCTTTTAAATTTTGAAGGTTACTCTACCCTAACAAAGAAACAGTAGATATTTGAATATTAGGTCACTGGTTGAAACTGTGAGATACCACCAGAACAAAGCTTTGTGTATCTTGTATTGATTTCTTTGTGTTTTTACTCCTGTTCCATCAACCTTTCTTTGTTTCAAATAATCAGGTAGAAAAGAGACTGACATGGGAGGTCCAACAATATTTTAAATATCTTTACAAACAAAACATTCTGTATTAACCCTCGTAAGGATTCCGAAGAGATTTGCACCAAAGATCTTTCTAGTGTCGTAAGAGTTTTAAATGCTTCAGAGGAGGCACTGGGCTATAACAAACACAGGGCATTAATTTGGGGACCACTAGAGGAAGTGACATGAAGAAGCTTTTCAATCCCATTTGCCCTAGGAATGTTTTATCTCGAAGGACACCTTCCAAATTATATCCTGATAATGTAATTTCAAAATACTAAGAAACTACTTCAAACAGAAATCTCTAAAGATTTTTAAAAAATCTGTTTTTATGATTCCTGTTATACAATGAGAATACAGACTATGTTTTTCTATCTATTCAATCTTTAATAAAGGGAATACTGTTCTTCATATTCAAGTCTGTGAAACTCTAAAATAAGTATCTGTTCCGTTTACATATCAACTATAAATACATTTTGTATTTACATGTGTTAGGTGTTTTATGTATTATGTACATATAACACGTATTTTGAGGTTTATTTTTAACAAAACTTCAAACTATAATAAAGCCCTCCTTTTCAAATGGTTCACCTTTACTTAAATTTGTCCAAATGTTTGAAATACTACACTCACATCATTATATTCAACTCCAATTATCTCCTCCCAGTTTTCCTAATACTAATACTACTACAGAACTTTATTTACTAATCTAATTCACACGTAATTGTGATAGCTCTTGTACCTATTTTTACTGGTTCATAAAATTACCTCTTCCACTCAACAATCATTCCTAATTTTCCAAATATTTTCTCAATGGTTAATTTTCAACTGGGCGTCAGCCACTAGTTGGATGCAGCAGGCTACCTTTCCCCCATTTTGCTTAACAACTCAAATTTCTAGAAAATTTATCATCATATAATGTAATAATTGAAAAGTAGCTATGGAGAAGAGCTTATGTTACAAGAACATGTGTTATGCTGTTGTTGCTGAATTAAAATTCATTTTTTAGTAGCATATAAAAATTAGTAAATCCATTTGACAACACAGAAATGGCCAACTAAACACAGTCGGACATTACTTCGATCTAGCTGGACTGCCCGATCCTTGGTTATCTTTAAGTCAGTTCAGTCCATACATGTATAATACATGGGAAAAAAAAAATACCAACACTCAACAGCAAACAGGATGGACATTAAAAAAACTGAAATTTATTGGTGTGATGTGGGGCAAGAATGTATTTTCCAAACTAGAATCAGGGGTGCATGCCACTTATTCCAATACAATAACTTGAAAAAGAAAAATGTCTTAGATCAAGCTAACACACAGAAACATCTGCTAGTACTGTGCACCCATGTGTTTGTTAGCTTTCCCACATTGTACCTTTTTTAAAATGGAATTTTTGCTGTCGCTGTTTCCTCTTGTCCACTTCCTCCATTTTTCTCCAGCTCCCTTCCCTGCTGTCAACTGCAGGACCTTTCTTTTGACTGGGTGGCGCAGCCTTCTTTGAGGCCACTGTTTAGGGCACAAGTGCTATTAAAATGGTGCGACCAGTATATTCTCCAATTCCGAAAGGCGATACACATCATCTTCACAATGTGTCTCACCTTCATTAGACAAGAGGAATGGAAGTCCCAATAAGAAAACATTCCCTCAAACCTGAATCTCTAAGCAGGAACAGAGCGCTGCTTTACCCCAGACAGGTGCTTCTGGAGAACAAATATAAGATAATGTACCTCTCTTGGCTTTTCTCTTCCTCTTCATCTGAGTCTTTATCAGAATCCTCCTGCTTTTTAATTTTCTTCTCCTTTTGCTTTGGTGTGCTTTTTCTCCCCAGTAGTAGTTCATTTTCTTTTTTCTCTGCGGTTTCATAGTCATCGACTACATCCTTATTTTCTGTATCATTGTCTTTTAATTTGTCTTCTGTTTTCTCTTCTTCAATTTCTTTTTTAATAGAATGTGCATCTCGAGCTATTCTCCTTCGTCCCTAGTAGAAGGGGTAAAAGCTTTAAAATAGCTATCACGACAAAGGAGGAAAAAGCAGAAAATGCTTCTTTTTCTTAAACCTTCACAGCAATGAGCAGTCATCTCTCTGGCTTGAGACATGACGTGACAATCCATCAACCCTTGTGTACTTTTCCTTTCAACCCATGTAAATTACTTAATTATGTCCATGTCTATGATCCTTGGATACATACTACAGAAAAAACGAAAATTTCCTCCTTTGTCCAATACATTATTTTCTCAGTTTTATTATTTCTTGACTATAATGATTTTTTTTAATTGAACTACAGTTGACATACAATGTTATATAAATTTCAGGTGTACAACACAGTGATTTGACAATTATATACCTTATGCAGTGCTTACCATAAGTGTGGTTACCATCTGTCACCAGTCATCACAATATTACTAACTATATTTCCTATGCTATACTTTTCATCCCTGTGATTTATAACTCTTAGTTTGTGCCTCTTAATCCCTCTGTATTCATGAGTCTGTTTCTGTTTGTTCATTTGTTTTTAGATTCCACATATATATATTTATTTATCCTTGTAGACTTATTTCACTTGGCATTATTTTATCCCATTTTTAGTTATTTCTTGACTATAGTGAAAGTTCTAAAATAATTAACTAAATATCAATGACACAAGTTAACAATAATTTAAAAAATAATAAACCAGCCCCCTAAATTATGGACTCTTCAAAAGCTCTGTGATCTCTAATTTTCCATTTTAAAAAAAAATTTACATGGGGCGCCTGGATGGCTCAGTGGGTTAGGGCCTCTGCCTTCGGTTCGGGTCATGATCCCAGGGTCCTGGGATCGAGCCCCGCATCGGGCTCTCTGCTCGGCGGGGAGCCTGCTTCCTCCTCTCTCTCTGCCTGCCTCTCTGCCTACTTGTGATCTCTGTCTGTCAAATAAATAAATAAAATCTTTAAAAAAAAAAAAATTTACATTATCACTTTCTGTGTGACCACATTTTAAAAGAACTGAATTGGGGCACCGGGATGACTCAGTCAGTTGGGTGTCCAACCCTTGATTTTGGCTCAGGTCATGACCTGAGGATTGTGAGACTGAGCCCCTGCATCAGACTCTGCACTGGGTGTGGAGCCTGCTTGAGATTCTCTCTCCCTTTCCCTGTGCTCACTCCTAAACCCCCATACTCTTGCTCTCTCTAAAGAAAATAAAAATAAAATAAATTTTAAAAATGGAAGGACTAAATTGCATCAATGGCCAAAAGTGAGCTGATTTCTTTGAATGAGTGTCTGGAGAGCTCACTGGGCCGGCAGTAACTTATTCTCCCCCCAAGCAGCTTTCATCTAGCCTCCTGCATGCTCAACTGACCATGAAACTGGTAAGCCATTTCATTCTCTCCTAAATTCTCCCTCAAGTTCACCTCCTCACACTGACAGAGTTCCCATCTACCTGGAATAGAGGACATAAAAGGGGCCAACAACTTAAGGAGCACTAGACTACATTACAATTAATACCTCAGTAAAACAAATGTTCTCCCTTGTTCCTATGTGCTACTTAAACTAAGTTAGAAAAAAACATGTGTTTTTCTCATCACAAAGAACTAGAATATAAGTCCCACAAAGGTGGAGATTCTGTCTTCTTCACTTCTATATCCTATGCACAGAGCAGCTGTTCTTTAAATACTTGTAGGTAAATGAATGAAAACAACTGCTATCTATCAGACTTTAGGCCTATATACCTTTGTCCCAGAAATACCACTTTTATTTTATAAGTTTACTTATTTATCTATTTAAGTAATCTCAAAATGTGGGGATTGAACTCACAACCCCAAGATCAAGAGTTGCATTCTCTTCTGACTCAGGCAGCCAGGTATCCCGGAAATCCCATTCTTAGGATTCTGCCTTCTATATTCAGACAAATGAGGAGGAATTTTTACAAGGATTTTTTTTTTTTTAAGATTTTATTTATTTATTTGAGAGAGAAGGAGTAAGAGAGAGCATGAGAGAGGAGAAGGTCAGAGGGAGAAGCAGACTCCCCAAGGAGCTGGGAGCCCGATGCAGGACGAGATCCTGGAAGTCCGGGATCATGACCTGAGCCGAAGGCAGTCGCTCAACCAACTGAGCCACGCAGGCACCCCCGACAAGGATACTTTTTGCAGCACCTTTTGTAATCGTAAAAAATTTAGGAGAAAATCTTAAGGAAGGTAAATTTATGGTACATCCATACTATGTAGTACTCTGCAGTATTTTTTGTAAGATGAAGAACATCTTTAAGAACAAGAAAGTATGTCCAAAATACACGTAATGGGGGATATTATTCAGTCTTAAAAAAGAAGGAAATTATGACACATACACAGATTGAACCTGGAAGACATACTGACTGAAATATGCCAGTCAAAAAAGGATGAAACAGGGGCGCCTGGGTGGCTCAGTGGGTTAAGCCTCTGCCTTCGGCTGAGGTCAATGATCACAGGGTCCTGGGATCGAACCCCGCATCAGGCTCTCTGCTCAGCAGGGAGCCTGCTTCCCCGTCTCTCCCTGCCTGCCTCCCTGCCTACTTGTGATCTTTCTCTGTCAAGTAAATAAAATCTTTAAAAAAAAAAAAAAAAAAAGAAAGAAAGAAAGAAACAGTAAGATTCTACATATCTGAGGTACCTAGAGTCATCAAATTCATAGAGACAGAAAGTAGAATGGTGGTTGCCACAAGCTGGGATGGGAGGTTACTGTTTAATGTCTAGTTTCAGTTTTGCAAGATGAAAAAGGTACTGGAGATAGACAGTGGTGATGAGTGCACAACATATGAACGTAGTTAATGCCACTGAACTGTACATTTAAAAATAGATGATGCATATTATGTGTATTTACCACAAACTTTTAAATTAAAAATAAAAATTAAAGAAATGAAATAAACCATTTGAATATTTCATTAAATTCACTAGAAGATTCCACTTACTAGATGAGGGTTAAAATGGACAGTTTGAAAAAATGGTTTCTAAGCACCGAAAAGAGGAATTTCATCTCCTCTTTCACTAAATATTATTTCATTCAAAAATAAGATGTAACAGTAACTGAACTCCTTTGATAGTGTGATAAATTTTTCCTCCTAAAATCTGGTTAAGTCCTGGGCACCTGGGTGGCTCAGTGGTTTAAGCCTCTGCCTTCGGCTCAGGTCATGATCTCGGGGTCCTGGGATCGAGCCCCGCATCGGGCTCTCTGCTCAGCTGGGAGCCGCCTGCTTCCTCCTCTCTCTCTGCCTGCCTCTCTGCTTACTTGTGATCTCTGTCTGTCAAATAAATAAATAAAGTCTTAAAAAAAATAAATAAAATTTGATAAGTCCTACCACATAGACACCATTTGACAACAATCAAAATAGTGGATGACAATGTCTGCAAAGGGCTTATATACTAATGGAGAAGAAGAGCAGAGTTAGAAGATTAAAGCAGTGTGCCTATTACTAGAAAATAAGATGAAGTATAAAAAACTGCCATGAGAAATGTACATGTAGTGTGCTGCAGGTAACAGAGAAAGAAAAGATCCCACCCAGCTGGAGGCACAAGTATTACAAGGAGGAGATTCATGCACTCCACAGCTATTTACTAAGTCCTTCCTTGTAGATCAAGCACTATTCGCAATGCCTGGGACTGGTCAATGAACAGAATAAACGCTAATCCCTGACCTCATGGAGTACGATTCTAGTGCAGACCAGGGTAAAAGAAACAAATATAAAAAAGAAAATTTAAAGTAAGTTACAGATAAAAAGAGCAACCTTAGAGGGATTGCAAACCAAAGAGAGGCGGTAGGTTACAAGCTTAGATAACGTTACCAGGATAAGCTTCAGTGAGGTGACTTTTTAGCAAGACTTGAAGGAAGTACTTATGTGAGACTGACCCCAGATGAGAATGACATCAAAAGACATAAACAGAAAACAACAGGAGGAATGGTTTTCTCAGCTAGAAGAAATAATATGAGCTATATTTAGGAAAAAATAGCCACACTAGTCTGCCTAAAGTACAACTCAATACTGAAAAATAAACTAGGTTAATTGGACCATTTTTTTGTGTATATCTGAAAATGTCCATAATAAAAAATTATAAGTAATGTTTAAAATAAAACAGGTAAAACTAATGTTAACTACTTACTCTTGGAGATTTTAATTCTATTTCTTCTCTTTCACTTTCACTGTTTGAATCAATATTTTCCTCAGGTTCACTCTTCACTTCTACTAAAGGCATTTCTTGATCTACTTTTAGAGCCTCTTCCATTGATTCTTCTAAGTCTTTTTTTTCCTCTTTTACTTTTGGTTCATGATGGTGAACAGTTCTGAACTGAATATTTGCAGAACGGCAGTATTCCTCAAAACCATAGAGATACCTAAAGAAACGATATTTCATTTTAGGAAATGTTAGTCTTTACATTTAACTTAAATACTATATTATTACACACACACACAGATTTTAAAAAAATAAAACTCAAAACTTTTTTTTTTAAAGTACTTTTCCTATGTGACTAATTTCTCAGTGTTTTATACAGGTTATCAACAGAAATACTGATCATAAGATTTCTTCCTGAAAAATCTGCACCTGTGATAACTGAACATAGCTATCATAGTTTTGATATGAAGGCTATTTCACCATAAGCGATATAGCTCTATAACATGTATCACCATTTCAGATTATTAACACTGCTGCATCATCCCTCACTTTGAAAAGGAAATCAGGACAATATAGAAAATGGAGTAAAGCAGACCTGGTTCAATGAAATAACATTGAGTCACATGTATCTATTAACCTAAACCTTTTTATATACTTTCTCTAACTTTAATGTTCTTTGATGTGTTCTTGTTTAACTGTTAACAAATTAAATGGAAAATATTCCTGTAATATGTATTCTTTGATGAATAAACTATACTACTTACTTTCTATAAGCAGTTTTTACATTGTAGGAAGCAGCTGAATTCAAAATAGGAATGCCAAGGTCCATATAAATTTGCTTCCATACAGCACCACTATCAATCTGGAAAATTAAGTTTTTATTTGTTAACATTTACAAAGGGAAATAATCTTTACACTAATATTCTAGGTTCGTTAAGAAAATGTGCTTATTACCTACAGTGCATATAACAATGCAACATTAGATAATTTAACTTTTCATTACATCCTTACTTACATTATCACATCCGCCTTGATGATAAACCAGTCTAAAGAGTTTGAAGAGATTGAGATCTTTATAGCCCAAAACAGGTGGTTTGTTGATTGGAGTACCTTTTTAACATGAAGGCAGAAATAAAATTTTTATTCAAAGGGAAAGTGCTTTTACAAGGCTATCAATAAAAAGCTTTCCAACTTCTAATTTCCCAAGATTTATTAATCAGAAGCATATATTTAAAGAACCCTAAATTATTTAAGACAATACAAAATATCCTCTATATTCTTTATTCAGCATTGTAATAGTCTTTAGATTTACCTCTATGATTACTAAAATCACATCTCTCACAACTAATAAAATCACCTGTCACTGAATTGGGTAGAACTAAATCCTTCAACTAACTACACGGCGTAGCCAACAATGCTCCTGGTTCAAGAAGTCTGGGCAAGAACATACACAATGGAAAGGGTACAATATAGGGCATACATCCATTTTCACTGCTTGAACACAAACGTTAAGACTGTTAACAGTAATCTGAAGGATGATTTCCCTAAGTCACAGAATTCCTAGGACTAATTTATTAGAGGATTTTCCAGGACTTATGTAAAGTCAAAAAATAGAATAATTTATAAAGGCTGTATTTCTTTTAACTGTATTAGAAATCCTATTCTTGGAGCACCTGGGTGGCTCAGTTGGTTAAGTGTCTGCCTTTGGCTCAGGTCATGACCCCAGGGTCGTGGGATTGAGCCCCAAATTGGGCTCCCTGCTCAGCAAGGAGTCTGCTTCTCCCTCTCCCTCTGCCACTCTCCCTGCTCATTCTCTCTCACTCTCTAATAAATGAATAAAATCTTTAAAAAAAAAAAAAAAGGAAAGAAGAAGAAATCCTATTATATTTAGATAGGAACTGATCATCTATTTTGTTTCATTTGTTGAGATCCAGGATCAGGCTATTTTACTTGCTGCAAAGACTGCACCAGTAACTAAATGGGTGTGTAGATTAATATTACTATTGTTCCCTTTCCTTTACTGAAATATTATTATAACAATTTTCAGTTTTGTAAGTCTCAAGTAGACTATATACCTATACAACTTTCATATATATTTCTGTTCAAAATAAGTATTAATAGTTGTTTTTATTTCAAATATTTATTTTCAACTCTGATTCTTTTTTTTTTTTCTTTTTTAAGATTTTTTTATTTATTTGCCAGAGATAGAGAGAAAGAGTACACACAAGCAGGCAGAGAGGCAGGCAGAGGCAGCGAGAGAAGCAGGCTCCCTGCCAAGCAAGGAGCCCGATGCGTGACTTGATCCCAGGACCTTGGGATCATGACCTAAGCCAAAGGCAGCAGCTTAACCAACTGAGCCACCCAGGCGCCCCTCAACTCTGATTCTTAAGGCTTTACTTAAAATCCAAATCCATGTACCCATGACTCTAATAAAAATAATGCATAAACCTAGAATGTTAAAAAAAAAAACACCCTAGAATGTTAAACTATAAAAGAAATGACTACTTTTAAATAACAAGCATGAAATACCTCTGTCTTCCATAAACTTATAAAGCTGTTGGAGGAAGTTGTCCCTCTCTTCAGGATCAAGTTCTTCCTCAGGCTGTAAAAGTATATAAATACAAAGAACAATGAATAGGGTGAGATACAGTCTTCTTTTTTAATTTGTTGTTGTTGATGAACACAACATAGAGGAATTTTATTAAGCTGGAAAATATGAATTTCCTCCAAATGCTACAATGCTAGACTTTAAGTCATATTTTTATAGAGCTGATTTGATACAACTGTCAAAATACACAATCTCTACCCTTTACCCATCTACCATTCTAACCCTACCCTTGAATATCAACACAGGGACTAAGAGTAGCCATGAGGAAAAGGTTCAGGAATCAGTAAGACTGTTTTCACTTCATTTGGTTTAGTTTTTTTTTTTTTAAATCCATCAAAATGCATGTGGTCCACAAAAATATATTGATAAGCACAATAATTACAAATATATTTATTATTTTAAAATAACCCACATAACTTGTACCCTTAGGGCTAATACATTATATGTTTATTAAAAAATTTTTTTAAATTAAAAAAAATTAAAAGCAAAAAATATATATATAAATGTTAAAATTTGTTACTGTTGAATGAATATAAACTAGAGGTTACAAAGTCACATGGCAAAGGGTTTTTTTTTTTTTTGATAGCATAGTGGTTTAAAGAGGTTTATGTAATTTCATTTTGTCTCAGGCCCCACCATCCCTTCTCGTATCACATTAGCCTGCTTTTCTCATTTGCCCTTCTTGCACAGCCTCTGTAAAAAAGACTTTGCAAGCCCTGAAAAAAAAAATGAAAATTATTTCTTAAGGAAGGAAACTAGATTCATAACCACAAATTCATTCCTGGGGGTGGGGAATCAATGAAAACACTCATGTAAAAAAAAATAAAAACAAAAAAAAATTACTCTCTCTGCAAGTACCTATCTAAGTGTTAATTATACTAATTATATAAATCTAATGATTTCTTCTTATAATGTCAAAGTCTTGGCTCTAGTCAAACAAACAGACTATGGGCTTCAATAAAATATTCTCTTTCCTGATTGACTACTTATAAACAAATACTTGGGAACATTCTTACTTAAAATTTAACAATACTATGGAGAAGGAGAAACAAAACAATATCTTTTGTCCACATAAATTATTATAATTTAATTTCAGAGTACTGCTTTTCTGTGTTCCAAAAGAAGAATTTAGAGTTTTGTCTTTCAAAGCCATGATCAAAGCAAAATTAACTATCAGCCAATAGAGTATTCACCATCCAGAGAGCAACAGGTCCTTTAAAATTATGTATTAAGAATTTTAATTGCTAAAATACAGCAGCCAGAGTCAATGAACATGCAGTTGATCAAAACCATAAGGCAATCAAGGGAAATAAAATCTTTTAGTACATTCATTCAGAATGACAGCACTGGAGTACTCTGAGTTTTAACAGATACAAAGAAACTAAATCAAAGTTCTAAGCCTCACAAATTAGCAATATGGAGTCAACAGGGGTCATCACTAAATGTTCCAATCAAAAGATGGCAATTTTTTCCCCTTGTGAATTTAAAAAGTCTTGCTTTTGCAAAGTAATTAGAACAACGACCAATGAATTAACTCAAAAAAGAAAAAAATAAGCCACTAGCCCAAGAACCATTTCAAATATTATTTCAAATATTATTTTTAAAAGACTTCTGGTATGGGGCGGGGGAGACACCTTATGCCAGACCACCCCTATGCTTTGCTTCTCCCTCATAATCACAATAGTTTCCCCTCAGACCAATACCTCATTTCCAGTAGTTATGATCTTGCAGAATTCAAATAAAGCCCTTGTATCCAATATACATAAAAAAGTATTTTTTCCAAAGGCACTGACTTGAAATCAAAATTTTTTCCAAAACAAGTTAAAAAAAAAACAAACGAACCCATCAACTTCAAATTAGGTATTAAGGTTGTACCAAACATTTCATAAATTCTTACTAAGTTTTATAGATAAAAATTGGTATTTTGAATATATTTGATTTTAAAGTGAGTGGATGTCTGGGAAACCTGGGTGGCTCAGTTGGCTAAGCAACCAACTCTTGATTTCGGCTCAGGTCATGATCTCAGGTTCTGGGATCAAGCCCCATTTTGGGTTCTGTACTCAGTGGGGAGTCTCCCTAAGAACCACCCCCCCAACCCCGCCCCAGGCCCCTCACACTTGTGCGCTTACGCTCTCCAATAAATAAATAAACCTTTAAATATAAAAGTAGATGTCTAAGAATGTACTGAGTTCAATGAGAAATTATGGCCATAAATTTCTGAGTTCAGGTGCAATTACCAGATGTAAAAACAAGACATAAATGAATAAGGAATTCTGCTTATAAATAAATACCTGCTTGAGAAGAATTTTCCACAAGGAAAAAGATGATAGGAACACCTTTTTAAATTTACCTGATCATCATTGCAAAAATTAAAACTGCTTAATTTCTTACAATAATTCTTCACAATCTTTTTTTTTTTTTTTTTTGGCAAACAGCTGTGTTAGTCACCTTGGACTAAAACTGCATATGCTAGAAAACACCTCCAACTAGAAGAATCTATCTTTATGGCTTTTTTATGGGGGCTCATGTTTGCTCTTATGGTGTACTTTCTCTGTTCATGGTATTTTTAAATGCAAAGTCCTCTATTTTAAAAGATCCATTTATTTGACAGACAGAGATCACAAGTAGTCAAAGAAGCAGACAGAGAGAGAGAGAGAGAGAGAGAGAGGAGGAAGCAGGCTCCCCACTGAGCAGAGAGCCCGATGTGGGGCTCGATCCCAGGATCCTGGAATCATGACCTGAGCTGAAGGCAGAGGCTTTAACCCACTGAGCCACCCAGGCACCCCCAAATTTCTCTATTTTTAAAGATTTCTTTTTTTTTTAAAGTAATCTCTATGCCCAATGTGGGGCTCAAACTCACTATCCCAAGATCAAGAGTTGCATGCTCTACTGACTAAGCCAGCCAGGTGCCCCTGTTCGTGGTACCTTCATACCTAAGGCATCTCTCTCCTGGTCAATAACCAGAAGGCGTTCCATTCTTTTTTTTTTTTTTTTTTTTTAAGATTTTATTTATTTATTTGACAGAGAGAGAGAGAGATCACAAGTAGGCAGAGAGGCAGGCAGAGAAAGAGAGGGAGAAGCAGGCTCTCTGCCGAGCAGAGAGCCTGATGCGGAGCTCGATCCCAGGACCCCGAGATCATGACCTGAGCTGAAGGCAGAGGCTTAACCCACTGAGCCACCCAGGCGCCCCAAGGCGTTCCATTCTTAAAGGGCTTTAGAGTAGGAGAAGCTTGTAATAATAAGAGGTAAAGTCCACTAGACTGCTGATATGCCTTCTTCCCTTCATTCAGTCAAGTATGTGAAGAGGAATTATGTACCCAGTAAAATGCCAGGGTGGAGAACAGGATTAAGGATATGGAAGAAGGATGAACAAGATCATAATTTTAAGAAATTTATAATTTTATTTAGCATCAATATATACTACCTAGTGTTATATATGTAGTTGTGCATCTATCTATATATATTAGTAAATTATGAATTTTCTGACTTTGGAAACTGTATCTTCAAGTTCACTTCAAACATTTATTGATGGCAACCATGAGTCAGGGAAGAATATACAAAAGTACTGTGTTTAAAATGAGAAGACCTACTTTCTACTTTTGACTCTCTGAGTCTAGCAGACGATGCAGCAATGAAAAACAAGCCAACGTAATACAACATTAAAAGTGTCGCAAAATGCATTAAAGAATATAGGATGGGGTCAGCGGTTCTGCTGGAGACGGAGTGATAGTGGTTATATTAGGGAAAGCCTCAAAATGTGAAGAGTAGAGAGCCCAGGAGCTAGAGCAAACAGCATAAACAGGAGGCCAGCAAAGGCAGGCTGTGATTAAGAAAGCACTTTCTAATGATATGCTAGAGAATCAGAACTGGAATGTGAGAGAGCTGAAGAGGAATTATATTACATTTGTGTTTTAAAAGCTCTCTGCCAATAATGAGCTTGATGGATGGGAAGGGAAAGGAAAGCGACTGTAAGAATCCACAAGGAAGAGGATCAACGCTTGGATTAGTCTTGCTCTCTGATGATGGAAAAGATGACCCCCTACTCCAGAAGGAGAAAGAGAGAGAGGAGTAAATGCTGAGATTCTTTTTAAGTCTAAATTACTCATGTTTATAATCTTGAAGGTTCCCACACATTGTAAGGGCTCGAAAGGTTAAAGACATGCCTACTTTACCCACAATTTTATCACCAGGGATTGGCATTTAGCTAAGACATTCTGTTACTATGTGAATGAAAACAATGTGAAAATAAACTGGGGAGATTTTCTTCGATTAATTTACATTTGCTGAGTTTCGGAGCTAGCATTAATGATAATATAAATTTAACGGGGGTCCGAGAAAGAAAAAATAAGAATGGCTGAGAATGGGGGGCACCTAGCTGTACTCTTGCAGAACCAAGCACCACGAGAAGCACAACCAAAGAGGCAACTCCGCAGCTGCCCCTGGGCTGGGGGACGGGCACAAAAGAAGCAGTCACACCAGCAGCTCTGCTCATGCTTTTATTGAAGCCAACCCTAAGTCTGGAACATACCAAATAGCCATACTGATTTTTTTAAAACCATGCAATAAATGCTAGAACAATTTATGACTGGGGTGAATGCACAGAACATTTATAGGTCATACCGAACCTTAACTCAAGCAGAGCTGCTATTTGTTCCTACACAGAAATCTTGGATTCCATGTAGATTCTTTTTGGATTCATTAAATCTCAGCTGTTTTATATCACTGAGTTTATTCGACCTTCCTTCTATTTGCCCTACTATATTTAATCCTGTTTAAAGGAATGGGCAACAGAAGAGTGATACTTAATGAAATATACCTGAAAACTCAACAAACAGTTTCTGAGCAAAATCTAAAGGTGTGTGTATGGGGAGGTGGGGTGTTCAAAAAAAGTTACATATTGCTGGAGAATAGTGGCAGGGAGAATTGAAAGTGGGCACAGGTCAAACTATGAAGGGCCGAACTAGTAAGGGGCTACAATAAAAGACCTAATCTTC